GAAACCTTAATATTGTAAATTTTGTTTCTTAATTGTTAAAATCGCATAATATTTTAGCGTCTAAAGGATATCGTTTAAAATTATTTTGAATAAACAGAATTAATTATTTATGCCTCTTGTGGAAGAACCTTTACATTGTAAATTTTGTTTCTTGATTTATAGAATAGCATGATAATTTAGCATGTTAAAAGATACCGTTTTAATAATTTACAACGTTCTCCGAGATGAAGATCCATCTTGAATCATACCTCTGGAGAAACAGAACAGGTGCCCGTCACCGATAATTGTCATTATCCCGATAGGAGATGTGTAATTAATTAGTCAGCCTCAAAAATCTGTGCAATTAACACAGAATATACAAAATTTATACAAGATATATATACACACATCCCAGCTCCTCGATACAACAGGTGAACTGGGAGTCCCAATTCCATTTCCACAAATTTATTGATTTTAAATCATTAACTAACCAACAAGCCTCCGTGGTGTAATGGATAAAGTCACGGACTATCAAGCGAAAGACCACGGTTCGATCTCAGATGTCGGCATGAATTTTTTTTTCTTATCACTTTTTTTTAAATTTTGTTTTATTCGAAAAGAGATTAATTTAATACCATTATAATAAGAAAATAAAATCTCTACGTTAAAAAATAAGCCGATTATTCAATAAAAAGATACAACTGAAAGATAACTGAAAGGTCACTGAAATATAGCTGCCATTCAGTCGACTGATTGGTAACTGGAAGACCACGGAAAAGTCAAGGGAAAGAAACTTTTCAGTGACCTTTCAGTGGGCATTCAGTTACAATTCCGTCGACTGAATGGTATAATCTCATCTTGTGTATTTTAAAATTCAAGTCCCCCCCCCCCCCAAATACTGAACTGATTTGTGCTTATTCCAAGCCAGTGTGCTCAGGTGAGCGATGTGGCCCATGGGCCTGTCGATGTTTTTTTTTTCTAGTCACATCAACTACAAAATAACAAAATTCAACTAAATCAAATACATATAATGTAATAATAAACGTTACTAGATTTAATGGCAAAATTTTACATGTATATTTACTGTATCTTAAAATTTTACAGACAGAGGTGTATTTTCACTTGAATCAGGAAAGACCTTAGTTTTGCAGATTTTGCCCATTTGAGGTGATGCAGATCTTACTGTGTTTTTAGGTAAATATTCACTTTTGAGTTTGAAGTCTTCATCGACTTATCTTTATGTATTTTAACTACGTAACCTTTAATCCTTGGCTACCTCAAACGTTTTTCTCTGTCCAACCAAGTTTAAAATAACAAGGTTTATTTTTTGTTGAGCAAAAATAAAGTTAAATCATATGCATATAATATAATGTTGTGTAACTAGATTTGCTGACAAAATTTTATTTATGTATTCCTACATTTAGACAGAGGGAATCATAAACAAGGACTGATGTTAATTTTCTTTATGATAAGGCAAGAAAGGAGTGTGTGGATGAAACTGATATTAAGAAATCAACATTGCTTCAAAGTCCAGCAACCACTCTACCATCAGATATTGTAATATTACAGAGAGGATGGGCCTTTATGATAAACGTGATGACTTTAACTTTTCAATCGTCAACTTCCCTTACTTATGCAGCAATATACCTTCATCACCTGCATACGGGGTATATATCTCTCAGTTGATTCGATACGCAAGAGCATGCTCTACGTATGTACAATTTCTAAAACGAGGTAAATTATTGACAAATAAGTTGATGAAACAAGAATATCAGCTGTCATCATTTCGCAAGTTCTATGGTCGATACAATGACCTTGTCAGCAAATACAATTTATCATTGAGTCAAATGCTGACTGACGTTTTTCATACTAATTGTTAGGCCATTATTTACACACTGAATTGTCGACGGATTTTTCCGTTATTTCCCGATCATGACAAGGAGCACACGGCGGGTGTGACCGGTCGGCAGGGGATGCTCACTCCTCCATGGCACCTGATCCCACCTCTGATGTTTGGAGGTCCGTGTTTGCTCTGCTCGTATTTTGTATTCTATAATGGACTTTTGAGCTTGAATACTGTTCGTTATCTCCATATATTTCATCCAAACGAAGAGTCAGAAGATTTTCAAGGGAACAAATCAATTTCCTGAGGGAAATGTTTGAGAAAGGTGAAGTGACTGGACATAAGTGTGACGCAGAAGAGATGTCTGTTAAAATGAGAACAGTCAAGGATAATGATAGCAAATGAAAATTCAGTCAGCAAGAATTCATGTCATCAGCTCAAATTGCTAGTTACTTCAGTAGACTGTCCTTAGAGAAGAGAAAGATTTCACTCAATTCATATGAAGAAGATCTTGTAGTGGAAGACTTTGAAAATGATGCCATGGAAATCAGAAAGCTTGCAACCAACACTGCTTTTAATCTACAGGGACTGACATGCTATTTACATTGGTATCTGAATTTATGTATATCTCCTAGCAAGATTGCTGCTTCTTTTTTTGGAATAATGTTACCTGCATGTAACAAATTACTGGAAGTTAGTTAACCCATGCACTGTTGTAGTTTTAAACAACACAAGAAGGTTATTATTGACTTAGGTGTATGTTGACTTAGGTGTATATAGTTGGTTTGAACCAATTAAGATACTCGTATGTTTCACAAATACAATTTATATTTTGAGATGGAAATGATGTCAAAATTCATGCTAACGCGCTTCATGAAATATGCGTACGTGACAAGTCTGTGTGATTTACACACCAATGACTCACACAAAACTTAAAAACATTCCTTAAATAACCTCAGTTTACTTTTGTCGCCCTTATTCTGCTGGTATTAAAATCAAAGTATTGAGATACGTTGTCTACACATAATATTTGCAAAATGAAGTTTAAAAAAAAGAATCTTAACTTTGTCAATGATACTGCAAGAAAATGTAATTGACAAAAAATGAAAAGTTAAAATGTAGTGCGAATTTCCTCTGCATCACCATATATATAATACTGGAAAATACCTTCGGAAAAAAATTGCTTGAATTCACCTCAAAAGTTTACCCTGCGTTTCTTTTTCCTTTCAGTATACATGTAGTTTGCTTTCCTCGATAATGTTTAACGTGTTTCTCGTGTGTACTCTAATAGAGAAAGCTAATTAAAATTACTACTCAGTTCACTGACCTACTGTTGTAAGAATCGAAAGATGCAGAGGGGATTTAATACCGTCCACGATATCTATCTGTTCTTGTCATGAAACTCGTAATATTGCTCGATCACTGATCAAAACACAGTCCATGACTGTCTTAAGGAGGCTGGGGGGTCAACAAATTAACCATCAGATATAACTTAATTTTTTTAGATATGATATGCTGTCAACTATCATTTGACAAACAAAAATTTCACACATTTTAGTTTTAAAAGTTGATCATTTTTGTATATCTTTATATGGAACTCGTCTTCTAAAGGAGATCAATATAGTCTGAAAATGGCCACAACCACCCAGCCCTCTTAAAGTCGGTAACCTTCATTCAGTCCGCTCAGTAGAGGACATTATGATTAAACTCGGCCCCCGTCTTGTTTTGTCTTGAAAAGAGCAGTTACTTCTGAAGGAGTGATGAATCTTCAAAGTTACAAATTGTAAGAAATAGACAACTGGAGACAATGCAACAGTGAAATTGTGAACACGCTCCAGAAAGAGGACAAGAAATTGCCAATTGCTTAGTCTACCATCTATCTCCCTCTCTCCTATAACTGCAGATCCTAATACTATTTTCTCATTGGGTAAATTACACTGTATCATATACTGTTTCAGGAAAGACAATGTGAAGCCACTGACAATCTTAACTAATCTCAACATTCCAGGGACTAATCCTCCAGAAAAGGTCACTAGATGTCTTCTTAGAATACGAGGTTGTTGAGGGAGAAACAGCTGGCATTTTTGTCAGCCGTAAAAATCTCCTCAAAGACTGTATACGAAATAGCAAACATTCCCAACTCGAGATTCCCCATAGAAGTTGTAATCTATTGGAACATGCAGAGGACCAGGGGATCCGCGGAAAGAGTTATATTCAGTGCTCCTAAAAGCAACCAAGGAAAAAATAGTCATGGAAGGTGGATTAGGCCATACATATCAATTTATGATTGATCATAATAAATGTTGTAGTTTGCAAAACTGATGCACCAAAACAATTTCCCCAACGAACAATTAAAAGGAATTATAAAGTATATTAGTTAAAGTAAGCAAATATATTTTATAGTACTGTTATAATTTTCAAATACATACAGAATGTTGATTTGAAAATGTAAATAAAAATTAACTACGTTTAAATTCACTAAAGATTTCCAGTTTTTTGTTCTATGCAACCCATGGAATACTTCAAGGTGGGAAAATCCCAATTTTTATCATGCCACCGTGTCAGAAACTGCCTCTGAAGCGAGAGAGTAGTCTGACTGGATAATAAGAACAATTAGAGAACAGGTCAAGCATTACTCTTCTTGCATTTTCAGAAACGGAGTTAATTATTCTTTTGTCGTGTCTAATTGCTCTTTGCAAAATCTTCCATCTATTAATCTTCGTCTTCAATAAAAATATATTATGAAAAAAAAATTATATTTAATAAATAAAAAAAAGGTTTCGTAAAACGTTAAATATAATAAGCAACAAAGGGCAATAACTCTTACTCCTTTGATGTTTGTATGTTGTTTAACGTCCCTCTCGAGAATTTTTCACTCATATGGAGACGCCACCACTTGCCGGTGGAGGTCTACAAATTCTGACCTATACTCGGCACTTACGGCCATTGAGCAGTGGGGGATTATTTTCGTGCCAGCACCTACTGCGACACGGGGCCTCCGTTTACACGGTCTCAACCGAAGGACCGGTCTCCACGTCCCACAGTGGGATTCGAACCCGCGACGTAAGGATCAACTCCTTACTTCGCGACTCTAGAGCAGACGCTCTAACCACTGCGCCTGTAAAATTTGTTTAAAATTAAAGTAAAATTTTGAAATTTCAAAACATATACTTTAAATTCATTTGACACAATCACAACTGAAATAGTGTTCATTTGAAACTCTCTGTGAATATCCTGCGTCAACATGCATATATTGTGTCATCTTCTTTGATTCTCCTGTTGCGGCCTTCAGGGCCTCCGATAAATTAACACAGTTCAGTGAACCTTTTTTCATAAAAGTTGTTCTAGTATGTGATAGAACATTGGCACCCATGTAACTGGATTCCTCTCTATCCTTTGCCACAATCCAAGAACCACATCCAGGCTCTCCTAAAACGGGGATATTTCAGATGATGATCTAAAAAGCTAATACAAAATGCAGCTAGGATGTCGCACTGTGCCCAACAAGGTGACCAAATCTTTTGAAGTTTTAAATAAAGAGTATGTAATTGGACATAATAAAACATACAATCTTTACCAACTTAACTGAAGTTAACTAATCAATGTTAAACTAAAGTGTTCCAAGGAACACGTGTTGCCTGCTATAGAGTTAAAAAAAAACAATCTTTTTTATACGACACAAGTGAAGTGGAGTGCTTTTATGTACAGAAGACTAATCTATAACTCCAGTAGACTGGATAAAATGCCTGTTTAGATAATAGAATTCTAAAAGTATTATGCAACACTTCGACTTTAAAAAGTATCTTATCTGGATTAAGGTGTACATATACTCTAATTTATCTTTGGCAATTAAACTTGTACTTCTCCTCTGCAGATTGAATCTCAAAAGGTTCTTGCTTTCGTATTGATCAAAGGATTTATGTAAGTATTGGGGCATTTTTTTTAAAGAATATTTAACATATATTTAATTCATATTTAACTTAAAATCCTAACTAATATCATCAAGGCACCATCATCAACACCCTACTGCTAAATAATGATAAAAGCACAAAATTCTGCAATAGTTTATTTTTGTAAGCTTATTAATTTTCAGTGTATGATTATAATAACGAGGTATAGTCGAGGAAGTCATATTGCGAAGCCAACATTGCATGTATGCGTTGTAAAATGATAAAGTTTGTTGCCTCTGGTAGTAACACCGAAAACCTTTGGATATGAAACTAGCTATACCTCGGTTTTTAAGGTCTCATCCGAAGGACCCGCAACTTTCACTTCAAAGTGCCGAGCGCATGGCGAAGGAACAGTTGGCTACCCATTTCTTATCGACTTAGGTCAGTCGCGGCCGAGATTCGAACTCACGACCTCCCGATCTCGGTGCGAGTGCTCTGCCAACTCAGCACATATACATGTAACATGTGTTGAATATCGATGAGTTGGAAAACTTTATTGAAGATCACTCTGATCAATATGAACGGCAGGTATTCGATATCCTTATGAGATGTATGAGCGAAAAATCACGTAACTTTCAATGCATATTCCCAATGCACTTTAAGCGTGGATAATGTACATCTCTGCACCTCCCACCCCCATTATTATTTGATTTGAATGAAATTATGAAGGATGCGTGAAGGAAACCAGTTTATTCCCCAAGATATACATATACTTCAAATTGCAATTGAAATTACCAGTTATTCGTGACCTTGCAACAAATGGTACTGTTATATGCTTTCACAACTGCCGTTCATTGAAAAAGCACATACAGTGCTACCTCGATATATTGCCAACTTTTGTCCAAAACTGATTTTGGCATTAAAGCGAGGGTGGCAATATAACGAGTTCTTCCAAAAATTACAATTGTAGACTATCAAAACAAAGTCAATATATATACACAATTTATTTTGTTACATTTTGTTTATGTTACGTGTGTTAATAAAAGAACAGAACGCGACTTTCATTTCTTTTTGAAAAAGTCACTAATTGTTTTTTGTTTGCTAGAGTTTTGACTCAGTTGAAATAAATATGTCTGAATACTCAAACACTTATTAATTTCTTGTTCTGTCGTTCTCTCGTCATGCTCCAAGAACTTAAGAACGTTGTCGATACCAGTTTTAGCTTCTGACATTGACGGTATGTAAATATTTTTAGGTTCATTGTCACTGTCTTCAGATTCTGATTCGGAAGTAGGTTTTTTTACTGTCTCCAGAATTTCAGAGTCAGTTAAAACTTCGGTCGGGTTGGCGTCACGATCTGAATCGATGAATTGTCGAATAGTTAGTCTCATGTCTGGGTCCATATCTAAATCCTCCTGAACCCGTTGTAACATATTTTCAAGTTTGCTAGTACCCTGAGTGCTGTCGTCAGATTCTGTTATTCCTTCAGGTTTCTTGATCAACCCACTATGTGCCCAACAATTAATAATAGTCTCACTGGTTACGGAATCCCAAGCAATTTTCACGTATCGAATAGCAGAGTCTAAAAATAGGGACGGTGTTTCCCTTCGATCGATACACTTTATCAAGTGAGACAACTGTTGTTTACTGTAATGTTTTTTAAAACTCTGTATAATTCCTGAATCAAGCGGTTGTAGGTGACTGGTTGTTGTTGGAGGAAGAAAATGAATTTTCACATTTGAAAGTGTTGGGATAATATGACTGGGTGCATTATCCATTATAAGCAAGACTTCGCGATTTTGTCGTCTCATTTTACTGTTGAATTTTTGAAGACAATCGGAAAAAATTACTGATGTCATCCAAGCCTTTTTATTATGTACATAGTCACAGTAAAGTCCAACATTGAAATTTTTAAAACAACGAGGATTTCCAGCCTTTCCAATAACAAATGGTTTTAATTTTTCACTGCCATCGGCACTGCAGCAAAGCGCGATAGTTATTCTATCTTTAATTTTTTTTCACACCTTTTGTCGCATCTGCAGTCGTTAATGATCCATCCGGAAGGAGACGATAAAATAAACCAGTTTCGTCAATATTGAACACATTTTTTAATTCATAATTTTTAATAACACTTGCAGCTTTTTGTCTACCATCTGAAATTAATTGAGGGTCAACACCAGCACTTTCCCCAGAAATGATTTGTGAGGAAATCCCATGACGCATCTTGAACCTCGATAGCCAACCGTTTGAATAAGAAAATCCAGTAATACCCATTTCTGTTCCGAATTGTTTAGCCTTAGTTTTTAGTATTTCTTCAGAAATTGGTATGTTTTGTGCCCTCGCATTAGAAAACCACATAAATAAAGCTGATTCCATATCAGCATAATGAGCACTTCTATGACGTTTTCTCGGCGGTGTACCTTCACAGTCGACATTTTCAAATTGACTTTGTCAGAATCTCACCAACTGTCCGTCTTTTTACATCAATATTCCAAAGAGCGGTGAAATGGTTTGCCAATTCCTGCTGGCTCGATTTTGGGTGCAACTTAGAATATTGCACAATTATTTGTTGTTTTTCGTAATCTAAAGTTGTGCGTTTCCTCTTGCCTGGTGTTTCCATTATTAATTGAAATAACACTGCTATCTTTTAAAAAACAACACCGAAGACTTATGTTTAATTTGAGTTTTATTCAACATTATCTTTAATTTACCTGAATTCCATGTCCAGCCAGTCACGCTTCACCGAAACCACTGTCAAAGCACCGTCCGCTATGATGTCTAATTCACCGACACGTGCTAGGTAATTGGCATTGTTATCGAGGGTTTACCTTAGATAATTTGACTATTTGTTTCTCAAACACAGTGGCGGATGGCAATAAGCGGGGGTGGCAATATAACGGGTGTATTAACACAGGGGGAAATCCGTTCTTGGAGATTTCTTGGCAATAAGCGGGGGTGGCAATATAACGGGGGGCAATATACCGAGGTAGCACTGTACATGATCTGAGAAAAGATATATTCTTTAAAAAAGTTGATGTTCTTGCATTGTGTGAAACCATAGTTTACAAATCTGACCTGCAACTATGTATTGACAAATTTTCGCACTTCTGTGCAGATCATCAGCAAAGTAAACATGGAATGTCTATTTTTCACAAAGACAACATTAACATCCCCTTAGCATGTTCCATAAATGGAATAGAATTGCTCATCTCAAAAGTGAATCAGGTTAATGTATGTTTCATATATTGTCCACCAAGAAATGCAACAAAACCAAATTTTGCCGCATTAATGGAAGTCCTGCAATGAACCATAAATTTGTCCCAACCAACAATTGTAATGGGGGATTTTAACCAGGATGTCCTAAATAATTCATCAATTTGAAATTTGCTGGAACAAAATTATTCTTTTCATCAATTGATGAACTCGGTGACATCAGGCTTCTTCAATTTCCTTGCCAGAATATAATGGGACAGAGTGGACAATTTCCCTACACTAAAAGTATCAGAGTGAAGGTGATTTCCAAGGACAATGAATTCGCTTACAAAAATGACAAGGGGGAAGACAGAGTTATTAACTGCTCAGTTGCAGACTCATCCAAGGCTGTCAAGTGCACAGTCTATGACAATACCAAATTTCAGAGGTTCAGAGAAGGCCAGAGTCTGATTTTTAGAAACATTATGAAGAAGTTAGACGCTGTGGTTGTAACCACAAATACAAAGGTGTTTCCGTCCACAGCTGTTGAGGTGCCTGAAGATATTGTGACTCAGGCCCGCCACATCTTAAACCCCCGCCAGCACCCACAAAACCTGTCTCTGAGGCTTTGAGGTCCCCCTAAAATTAGGGTGTCTATCAAGGGCAAAGTTGTACAGGTAAGATTTAAGCAACTTAAACTCATAACGTCATTATACAGCAGTCAATAAGAACGAGGGCGCTTTTGATTGACATTCGGCAGGAATCTGGGCGCATTTGAAAAGTGAAAATTTCATTGATCTATCAAACGAAATTTTAGCACTCTTTTGATCATTTGGGTTCCTGTGAAATAGGAAAGGGATATATTTTCCCGAAATTGTATTTTGATTTGCTAAAAAATGACTTGAAAATAGGCTAGATGATTCATTTGGTACGAAATGTCACATTTTTAAACACGTTTTTCTAAAAAAAATTTATCTCTGGGTCATCTCTCCATGATTTTCAAACGTTATTGGTATGAATTTTAGTTCAAAGAAACAAACAATCATTTGTAAAAAATGGAGAGAATACCCAGAGACCATAAAAAATGAACTTTTTCCAAAAAAATTCCAATGTGTAAATGCGATGCTTTATTGACGTTTTAAAAGCCAAATTGTACGTGTAGCCGTGATAGCTCAGTAATATGCGTTACCCGTTCAATGCAAATGGAGTCGGGAACTTTTTGGTTCGATCCTCGCATGGAGCGTTAATATTTTTTTTAATGAAAGCAATCAATTCTTTTGTCAGTTTAATATTTTTGTCCTGATTTATTTTAAAATGGGTATATTCTGGTTCTGTTGCATCAAGAGCGAAAGCAATTCTTACTACATGTAACACTTTAATATACACGTACTTGTAATTGCATTTAACTATACCCTTATTATCTTGTAGGTGTTTATTATTTATGTGAAGCATTACTATCTTAAAGTTTGATTATTAAGATAAGCGGACCTAAATATTACAATTTGACATGTTATTTCATACTAAATATAACATTTTCCTATGTGCGTAGCTTTGTAAAGCCTGTCCAGCTGTGGTCAGCCAACCAAATCGTGGACATTTAAACTATAAATGTTTCGTACACATGATTCCTGCAGATCACACGCCAAACACGCCCATCTTCTTTAAGAGAGCGAATCTTAAATTATTAAAATATATCTTTAGTATTCTATGGAAATAATAAAAAAAATACATATTTGCACAAATCTTTTCATTATTTTCAACATTACAGGAAGAGGCAATAAGACAAGTTGTTGTCAAAGAGAATCAAGTCAAAGTAAAAAATATCTTCCTGGAAGATGTCTGAATATTGATAATTTCTATTACTTACTTTTATTGATTTGGTACATAACAGGTTTAATTTTGGCTTTACTTTAGAATTGGTTTGTAAACTTTTTAAAGGGGCATGTGATCAATTGCATATTGCCATTTTGTTTACATTTTTTTAATTCAAAAATAATTTCAGTTTAATGAATTGAACGACAAGGAAATTTGTAAGCAGGGCACGATCTTTGTTATTTTTAATGTTTACGTTGCGTTCAACTTTTTTTGTACTGTGCACACATTACCGATTATCAAAAGAGGATTTAAATGAAAAAAACTTGTAAACAGTGTAAACAAAAACATAGTATCGATGATGGTGATTTAGTGACTCATGTGAGAAAGATCTGCGGGAAAATTCAAATGAGACTATCGAGGGGGCAAATGACATCATCTGTGACATTTTCCAGTTATTAAATGTGACAAGTAAGGATGAAGAGAAAAGTGATTCTGAGCCTGAAACAGTACCAACTACAAGGAGAAAACGTAATCGTCCACGTCGTGCTAAACAACGAGAAATACCAGATCTACAACTTACGTTTGAAGAAACTCGTAATCAACAAGAAAATGACAAAGGAATTGGGCCGATTCTTCAATTGTTTGAGAAATTTTGATCTGAAAACAAACCATCTAGTAGTGTAATCACAGAATTTGATCCTGAGTGTACCTTTTGGGACAATAGATAAGAAATTCTAGAAGTTCACCAACATGTTTTGTGTGTTAAATGGATGGAATTGAATAAAGTGAGATTGAGGATATGTACACCTAAATCAATGCGTGATGTGGTATCTCCATGATTCACCAGTTTCAGGACACTTTGGAATTCAGAGGAATATTCGTAAAGTGAATCAAGAGTTCTAATTACTGGCCAAAAATTCTTGAGTATGTGACCGATTATGTGAAATCGTGTTATGTGTGTGAAGAAAGAAAGAATCCACAAGGACAAAAGCGAAGTATTATGGAATCGTTCATAGCAGGAGGACGTTGGGAAAGAATAGCAGCAGATACTGCTGGACCGTTTTCTTGTGGTAGCAGATTATTTTACGAAGTTTGTTGAAATATTCCCGATCCCAAATATGGAAGCTGAAATTGTCGCTAATGTTATATTCAAAGGATGGATTAAACGTTATGGATGCCCTTCTGCGTTACAAGGCCGACAATTCGAAAGTCAACTTTTTCAAAACTTGTGTTCATTACTTGGAATTCAGAAAACCCGTACAACTCCGTTTCACCCAAGATCAGATGGAATGGTAGAGAGGTTGAACCGTACAATTATAGATATGCTGTCAAAATACATTACCTTACATCAAAATGATTGGGACAAATTCCATGGCTTACAACAGTACTGTGCATGAAACAACTGGAATAAGTCCTTACCGAATGTTATTTGGAACAGAAATGGTGATGCCGGTTGATTTATTCTCTGATCAAGATAATAGTGTCATTGGTGTCTCAAACAATTATCATGACAATGTTCGTGAGTTGAAACGAAAATTAGATCAATGCCATGAAATTGCTAGAGAAGAAACCAAGAAAAGTAGCCAAACTCAGAAGAAAAATTATGATCAAAATGTGAGAAAAATTCAATACTGTGTTGGTGATACTGTGTGTCGTTTCCAACCTCAACAAATATTAGGAACCAAACTTAAACTTGCAAGAAATTGGGAGTGGACCTTGGGTTGTGACTGAAAAACTCAGTGATGTGTTATATCGAATTCAACATTCTATTTCTTCAAAACCTGTTGTAATTCATGCGCACAATCTTAAACCATTGAAAGTGAACAAGACAACTTATTTGAAAACGCAACGCATTATTCAGAAAGCTACAAATAGTGAACCAGATGTTATCATTCCAAATTTATGCCCAAGTGATGAAGTCCCTGAAGAGAACATTGAAGGTCAATTTAACAACACTGGAAATTCTGAAGTCGAAAACACCTTACCTGTTAAAGACAAGACCCAGGATATACCGTTAGAGAGGAACAGGGAGGAGAATAATGGACATTTGTCAACCCAAACCCAGATGGAACCCAAGAAAACAAGACTGGGCAGGCTTATAAAAACCCCAACAAGATTTAGAAAATAAATACTTAAAATTCACTTCTATGTGAACATGTTCCAATGTTTTGACTGCAATATTACGTACAAATATAAAAGGAATTTACAAAGACATTTAGAAGAACACCATTATTCCAAGAAGAAAGTTTATCAGTACATTTGTCAAC